CCCCAAAACCCCAAAACCCCAAAACCCCAAAACCCCAAGCTTGTGAAATTAAGCTTAAAATTATTATTACTTCTTGTATATATTTTGCTGACTTACTGAAGGACGGGCCAGAGCCTCTTGTTCGAGAAGGACATTCTGCCGATGTACAGGGGAATTTGAAGGATTTGGATTATGTGGCCTGGGAAGGTTGAGGAGGTTTATTTGGGAATTTGAGAAGTTGAGTTCTTCTGAGAGGTATTCTTGATGTCCTAAATTAGGTTATGGTAGGAAAGCAAGGGCTTACGAAGATGGTGGTTTTTGGATTCTTCATTTTCAAGTTTGATGAGCCGATTTTTAATTGTTCTAGAATGTAATACTTGATGATTTGGGCTTTCTTCATCATCAGAGTCTTCAATTTGTTTTCGATTTAGCTCCCAATTCTTACTGAGTCGCTCGACTTCCATAATCTCTCTTCTATAACATAACTCACTATCATACCTAGAAGGGAGCTCTTTTCTCTCTTCATTAATAGAACTATGTCTTGAATGATTGCTATCATTCCAAGCTTGTTGTCTATACAAGGGCTGCATACTATTATTAACCAATCTTTGTTGTGGGATTTCAATCATAAAGTTATCTTCATCCCTCTCAGAATCATTATCAGCAATCTCTGTGATCACATGCTCACTATCTTGACCAAATTGTCTATAGGGATTACTCAAAGTATTCACTCAGGAAGGTGAGTGCCAATTTTTGCCTCTTCAAGAATAACCTTTTCGAGCTCTTTCTGTATCTTCCTAAAAATATTTTAGAAGAGAAATTACTTTCGTCTTTTGCGTTTAGGGCTTTCGTCAATTTTAAATATCTTTTTAAGTTCTTTTGGGAACCACTTATGCAGGATTGTATAGTCCTGAATACTGTATATCCTAGGCTTATTTCCTTTTCCTACAGCATATGCACCCTTTCTGGATCTTATTTGATTTTCAGGATTATCACAGTTTTTGATGATTGAAGTCTCACATAGCCTTGTATCTTCATAGGCATATCAAATGATCGGAGTGTGCCAAATTTTGAATCATAGTCACAAACATAAAACCTAAAGAGATAATGACGAGTCTAACTTTCCATCGATTCAGGATAGCTCGGAATGTCTTCTGGACACAGAGATATCTGTGATCCTTACATTAGCTTCTTGACCTCTGCCAACATAAACAGTATCTTCGTGTCCGAAGTCTATGGATTAAGTAAAAGCTACCGATGACGTGAATTATCCTGGCTTTGCTTTTATTTGGAAGAATATGTCTCTAACACAACGTAGTGGGAATTCTCAGGGATATTATAGTTTAGTATACGGAACGATTTTAACTCATACTCTATGATATTTAACAATTCCTACTTTGGGTTTCGATTTGCACCGTATCAGGGAAAATATTATTTTCATAATTCGCACTCAATGTTTTTCCAATAATAAGAGTTTACACACCAAGTTTCCCTTGTATGGAGTTTGCTGTCCAACCAATTCCTGAGGCAACTAAGATGTACATACTGGACTGTTCCAGTGCAACTTCATGGAGAAACCAGGAGGTCATCAACTTCATCTTCATTTTTCAAATTAGTTATACCTAATAATGTAAATATTTTAGTCTTTACCTTCAGACCATCAGATTCTTCATGTAAGCTTGTTCTTTGACCTCTGAGTCTGTAAGCCAGACTCTCTGCCAGAGACATCATAAGAAGGTAACTCAAGCCTGGAGTTGTCAGTTTGCCTATAAAAATTCTTTTCCAACCCAAAATTTTGATTGCAATTTTTTAAAGGGATCAGAGCTTTAAAATTAGATCTTAAAAGCTTCCATGCGTATTGATGATTTTGTTTAAATCATGCTCAAAGATCTCAATGTGCTCTGAAAATTTTAAGAGAATTTCAAGTGAAGTCTAGATGATTTACCTCAGAGATTGATTTAGAGCATCCCCGCTATTTCTTCTCATTGAGACGTTAGCTGATTTATTTCTACATGATTACTACAAAAATTTACAGAAGTAGGCCACCTTCACTTGTGTTCATAGCATCTTCCTTTGGTATAATCGAATGTTCAAAGGTTTCTTGATTGGATGTCCTAAGACTTAAGGGGAGTCTTACATCTTAACTTTAAATGCTACTCTTCCAAATTTTAGGTAATCACCGCATTTAAATTCATTATTAAGCTTGTTATTACTTTGGCCAGTAATAATCCAAGCGAGTTTGCTGGATTTGGCAATGACATCTAAACTTTCTTTCTATTGAAAATAGTCAAAACTTTTACTTTAGATTTCTCTTCAGATATATTTCTTGATATCTCCCTCAGACCATAAGGTTGGTAGATATAGTAATCTCTTTCGTAGTAGAGAACTCATGCGAGAGGAATGGAACCGGATTCCCTCTTTGGCCGCTTCTTTGTAGTAGCTGTTGGGATAATTTACATACGCTTACTAATTTTATCGTCAGGGTTTTGTATAATGTAGAATCATCTAGGATCTTCTATTTCCATGTTCATTGTATTAAGATCTTGGTAGCTGTAGTCAAATAATCCAATAGACTTCTTCTTCCAGGTATGTGTCCGGATTTGAAGTGTCTTTGGGACTATGTGATTACCTACCAGACCTTGTTCTGGCTCAGCTGTGTTACCCATGAGGATGCAAAATTTTATAAAATTTCAAATTGAAAAATATATAATGGGGTTTTGGGGTTTTGGGGTTTTGGGGTTTTGGGGTTTTGGGGTTTTGGGG